ACTCTGAGCAAGAATATTATTCATTTTATTCAGCTGCCTGTTGGACACATGGTGTACTGTTGTCAACTACCTACAATCAACTTACAATCAATGAGTAAACTAAAAAGCCACACATTTTTGAGAACTACAATGTAACAAAATACATAGTACTCTGGACCAGGTGTCAGCAACCTTTTTGTAACTAAGGGAACAATAAAAGTTTTAAAAACCATCAAGTGCACATGGTTTAAATTTTGAAAAAAATCACAATGTTTTAATAAAAATAAATAAAAAAAAATAATTATGTTTTGAAATATATATATTTATACAAAATAAAGATTATACATGCATGTAATAACTAAAAAAATGAAAATTAAAAGTGCATACATAAAATAACACAAAATCAAAGAAAATTATAAATATATGTATTTGCTTGTGCTTGATGTAACTATGTTCTGGAGAGTGCATCTGAAATGTGTCATGGGCGTTGCGTTGCCGATCTCTGCTCTAGACTAAATGTGCAGCAACAATTCCTGCAGCTGAAAAATGTGACATTGGCCCTCTGCATCTTCTATGGCATGGTAAACATTGCCTGCTTAAACACACAAATCATTTACAACCACAACAACTATTGGTTGGAGGGAAAGGAAATAAAGAAAAATTATATCCTTATTTGTCTAAGTGAAAGAGCTAACCAAATGATGGATGAAGAAACTAGAATCAGCACTTTGCAGATATAATTGCATCTCCTCATAGAAAATGTTTTACAGAAAAATCCTACCATTCAAAGAGAGAATCCAATTTCTAAAAAAAAGAACAATTTGCCCATCTGCTTTCAAAAAAAGAAAAATGGTTATTACATATTGCAGCCAGTGCAACTGTACATACTACAATGAATATTTTGCAAATCAATGTGCAATGTGTTAATTGCTGTAAATGAATTTTATAATAATAATTAAATGTCTGAACTTGTAACAAAACTAGAATATTTTATCATATATTCATTATATTACTGTCAGTCTATTCTGACATAAAATTAATTAATGAAATAAACAATTGTAAAATTTATAAAGTTTTGTATATATTAATGACTTATGTTTTGTGATCTAGGGTTAAATAAGAAATATAGTTTTAAAAAGTCATCAGAGATAAAGTCTGTAAAAAGTTATTCTTATTTTTCTAATTCTTTATAATGATTTTTTATTTCATAAAATAATTCATTCTGAGGATTATTTTATAATGGTGTTCATCTCTAAAGATGAACTTCACCAATTCGAAAGTGTTTGGGAAAGTAAAGTTTTTTGATGGTTACTTCATTAAAATAAGTCTCATAAATTCATAAGCTTAGCATTTTCTTAATTTTATTGTAAATTTACATACTAGGGAAAGACATGCTATACTGTACATGAAATATGATGTTATTTGGTTATGAAAGTTGGATATTAAAAAAATACAATAAAATAATTGGAAAGAAAAAAAAAACAACAACAGTTATAAAGAAAAAGAAGTTGGCATTTTTTTGTATACATCCAAAAACACCCAACATATATCACACAATAAGTTCTAAGTGGAAGGCTAAATGGAAAACAAAAGAAAAAACAAAAATTGGGTGATTTGACATTATCAATGAATGGACTAAAAAATAAATTAAATCTTTGTTTCATACAATACAATACAATACAATAGATGTTCATTAGTTGCTAACCTTAATTGATATGACACAAGAATAAAATATTAATATTATATATATTGTTTGAACAATACCAAATTGTCAACTATACTTTTATATTTAATAAATACATAAAAATATAAATACAACTTTAACAAAGGTAAAACCTTGCTTCTGTCATTTTTTTCGGCATTCACACCATTAGCAGTCCTTACATAATTCACAAAGTCACCTTTATTAAAGTCGTATTTATATTTTTATGTATTTATTAAACGTAGATAACACCAGCCATGTATTTCTATTGTTTTTTTTTTACTTAAAATACTTTTATATTATCAATTTTTAATTTTATATATGAAAAATTTCAATTGCAATTTATTTGACAACATATAAATCACCAACTGCACACACTGGGTTGAACATAAGAAAATACGACTTACATAAACCTATAACCAGTGCATACAAAGTTTAATCTTCCAAAACAAACGTTTTCTTAACCCCTTCTGGGTTCTTCTTCAGGTAAATCAGCTGGATCGAACATGAATACGAAAATTTGAACAAATCCGAATGCTGTTGAGCTTGAAATGTGTTTGATCCAGCTGATTTACCTGAAGAACCCAGAAGGGGTTAAGAAAACATTCATTTTGGAAGATTAAACTTTGTACGCACTGGTTATAGGTTTATGTAAGTCGTATTTTCTTATATTTGACAACAAGTAATACATGAAAATATGTCAGATATCTAAATTACAGAATAAATCATTTATTATTAAATTTTAATTACAAATATAAATATTTAAATTGTTTGCAACAACACAATATAATCACAACAAAAATTATCATCACTTACTGCCATGTTCACATATCTGTAAGGCAAGCATGTCTTTAAATAATACTTCTTCACCTAATGTTGCTGTTGCTCTAAATTAATTAAAAATGAATGGGATTATTTATAATATTTATGAAAATCTTTAAATAATGTATAAAAAAATTCTAAAAATATAATTTTGTGGCAAAATAAAAAAATTTATACAAATACATTCATTTATTTCTTAAAATTAAAATCTATCTATTTAAACTTAGAAATAAAAGTGTAAATAACATTTCAGAACATATTAACCAAGAATCAAGAAATATTGTTCTTTTGAAAGTTAACTGTTGAACTCATGAAATTTATTATATTTTGAAGAGATACAGATAAACTTTTGTAAATTTTTATATATCAAATAAAAACAATTTGTTGTATCTTAGACATTTGTTTTTAATATCTTTCTTTGATTGAGTTTTAAGAATTTTATGTAAAAATAATGTTTATTCACTTTAATCTTTACAAAACTATATTTATTCTAAATTCAAAATATCACACATTATTGTTATTACAACCTGTATTGTAAAAATATCTGCACCTTTTTTTTAGATGAAATAGTTATTAAATAAAATATATAACTGAAAAGATTTATCTTTAAATTAATAATACTTTGCATTAATTTATTATTAATGATTTTAGTATTAATATATTGTTGAATGAATTTAAATAATTATAGTTATTAATACATTAATGTAAAATACATCATTTTCACATTATAGTAAGTCCTCACTTAACATTGTTTCATTATAACATTACTGAGGACAAATACAAGTATGTTTGTAATCATCTACAACAGGGGTGTCCAACCTTTTTGTTTCTCTGGGCCGCATTGGAAGAAGTCAAGGAGATTTGGGCCACAAGTTTATATAATATATACTTGTGGCCCAATATACAAGTATATTTAAGGATTAACACGTGTAGATTATAATAATAAATATTAAAACTTTATCACGAAAAAGNTTTTCCAAAATAATTTATTATTTATTGCATATACAAAAGGAAATGGCTTAAGACAATTCATATCCTCCCCAAAAATAATGTCCATAACAAAAGATTAAAATACAAATAACAAATAATACAAATCAATAGACATAATAAAAAATATACTTTAAAAAAAATGGTTATTTGGTTTTTCTATAGTTTTGTATCAGGTTTAGCCAGTTTTTGAGTGGTTGTATTTTAACATTGTGTGAAGTCAATAGCGTAAAATGTGTTCTGTGATTTTGTTAGCAATGACTTTTGTTGAACAGAGAAAGAAAAATTAAATTTTGCATGAAGCTTGGGAAAAGTGGTGCAGAAACCTTCAGAATGTTGAGTTTTGTGTATGGAAATTCTAACATGAGCAGATCTAAGATATACAACTGTCATAAACGGTTCAAGGAAGAGAGAGAATCAACTGAAGATGATCCAAGAGCTGGAAGGAAGGAAAAGAAGTTCTGTTAAATAATCATCAATTAACCATACAAAAGATCAAAAGAGATTAGTGTTTCAGTGGTATCTTGCCACATTATAACCAAGTTAGATTACTCAAGAATAGTGGCAAAGTTTGTTCCATAAATAATGATGGTAGTGAAAAAAATGGACAGAAAAGTGATTGCTGAAGAATTTCTTAAGCAAGCTGAAGCAGATGAAAATTTCTTAAAATCAATAATTACTAGTGATGAGAGTTGGATATATGAGTATGATCTGGAGACTAAAAAGCAGTTGAGTCAATGAATGAAAAAGAAAGAATCTCAACTAAAAAAAAGCTTGAATGAGTCAGTCTAACATGAAAGTGATGCTAATCATTTTTTTTAATTACCAATAAATTGTGCACAAGGAATTTGTTCCACATGGATCAACTGTGAATGCAGAGTACTATCATAAAGTGTTGCATGCCTTTAAGTTATCAGATGTAAGTGATCAGACTTGTGGCACAAACAAGCTTGGTTTCTTCATCATAATAATGCTCAGTCATACACAGCATTACTCATCCAAGACATAATATTCCACCCATTGTTCCACAACTACCTTTTTCACCTGACTTCTTCTTCTTTCCCCATTTAAAACATATTAAAAGAACAATGTTTTTCATCAAAAGTTCAGATTGTACAGGCTGAATTACTGAAAACACAAAATGACATTCCAGGCAAGCATATGCTGCAGCGTTTGAGGATTGGAAGAAGAGATTTCAGCATTGCAGAGCAGCAAAAGGGGTAAAAATTTAAAAGGTGACCCAACTTATAAATATCTTATAAGTTAAAAATAAAGAATTTAGAGCAAGAATTCTTGAACCTTTTGAACATATCTGTTACCTGTAAGTTCTTCCCAAAATAACTAACTGTTTGTTTAAAGAATTAACAGATAACTGAATCATATATCCACTTATTTTCAACAAAAGAAAAAAAGTAGTTTGTTTTTAAGCTTTGCTTTATTATGAAAAAGTAGGAAAAATTATTATTATTGATTTAATTTTATATTTTTAAAACATTTTAAAAAAAATTACCAATGATCGAGATCCAGAATCTTCACAAAAACTAGCAGCTTTACCATGTAAAATATTTCCACATTGATTATCCAATTTTCCTCTTGATACTTTGGACCAGAGTGCCTGATCAAAAACATCACTAGATTCAAAATCTTCTCTTAAAACAAGAGCAGCAGAATGAATTTCTTTCATATCTGGTTGTATATCTTCCTTTTTTTCAGCTAAATAAGTCATTTAAATATGTATAATACAATTCAAATATAGTTTATTATTTTTCTTAACATATAAACTTTATAAAAATTCATAAAACTTGCACCATCTTTACAAATAAATAAATCAAATCACTGCTTATTCAAGAAAGTCAACATATTTTTTATTAAAAAAACTAGCTGTTAACCGCAGCTTCGCTCACGCGCATTTTGCAAGCAAACCCTATTTACATTGAATATTTCAACAACCATAGTAATTGTTATTTAACACCTGCTGCTGAGAATGATGAGAATTGCTGAGAATCTAACAAACTATTTTTAATTTGATAAATTTTCTGGAACATTTACAATCATTCTATAATTGAACCAATATGCAAAAAAAAATTCAAATTTAAAACAGTTCGAACATTTGGTTAAAAAATTGAAATATATAAAAAATATTTATAACAATGTCTGAAATGTTATCAATTTAATACCCCTAAGTACTCAATGAAGACTAGACTTAATTAAAAACAAAAAAATTGCATCTAAAATAGTACAGTAGAAGCTGTTTTTCAGATTAAGCATTAATGCTCTCCCTCTCCCGAGGGGAATTTCGAAAAATCTCTTCTTAGTGTGTGTTTTCATGACATACCCTAACTGTGTACCAAATTTCATCTCTAGGTTCTGGAACTTTCTAGAAAAAACTGGAACATTCTCATTGAAACGTCACACATTTTCGAAGTCAACCACTTTCAAACCCCATATCTCTCACACCCTTATAGCTATCAAGATGCAACTACCATAATGTACAATGGGAGACTTGGGGCTACTACCACACACAACCACAATTCATGTGCAATGTGTAGTTTTGGCTGCAGAGTGACGTATAGGCACAAACACATCCATTTATATATATATTTAGTCATAATCTAACCATCTTTGGCTTAGAACTAGTTAATAAACAGTTTAGAATTACATATAGCAGTATAAGTACAGTACATTGGAACAAAACTTAAATTAAACGTTCAGAACAATAGATTAATAATTCTATTAAAAATATAAGATCTAATTTTCTTGCTATCATATCAAACAATTCAAAAACAAAATTTTTTATAGAAATATTTTATTTATTAAAAGAAGAATTTTCTCAAGTTCTTTACAAACTACAGTAAGCCCCACTAACTTAGACTAACAAGGGTGAATGTTGTCCGAGTTTACAGAAGTCTGAATTAGCAGGTATTTTCTTCAATGATGTGGAGAACAAGAATGCAGATATACAGTACAGTAATTTATTATAATCTGTTCTATACAGAAGTTTTACTTATGTATAGAACAGATTTAGTAAATTAGCTTTAGTAAATTATACTGCTGAATTTATAATTACAGGAAATGAAAAAAATTTTCATGACAGTACAGTATACAGCAACATATAGTCTGTAGTAACTTGCTACAGTAATACAATGTACAGTATCAAAAAACACCTAGATATCAAAAACACTTGTTAATTATAATTTTTCTATTGCCAAGAAAATTAAAATTACAGTTTTTCAAAAAAAAAATTTCCAAGTTATATGAAGTCTGAGTTGGCAGGTTATTTTGTTCATACTACATATGAACAAAATAAAATAAATTTAACAAAAATTAATTTTAAATTTTCTTTAAATTTTAAAAATTGATTTAGAATAATTTCCATTGCTGTAGTAGAGAAGCAAAACTTCTCAAATACTGAAGTCATTAATTACAATCATACATATTTTGGCAAAACTAACCAAGCAGATATCATTTTTCTTTATTAGAATGAAACTTTGGAGTCCTTGTTTTTTATAACTTTGAATTCATCATTATTAATAACTTAAGAATGAATTTATCTTTCATTTATTCTGCAATTTTTTGCACAATATACTTTTGTCTTTTTTCTATTGCTATTCATAATATAACTTAAAAACAAAAAGAACCATTTGACTTGGTAAAAAGTTGTGTATGCATACCATTTTATCAAAGGATAAAAATTATTTACAAACAATATAAAATAAAATTAAAAAAAATCATAAAAACTAAATTATATCTTAGATTTGACTAATAACTTTAATAATATTAATTTTCTCCTTGCTGATTTGCCCTATTTTGCTGCCATTTTTGGTGCTTTCCTACACTGTTGCCTGGACCATCACAGCTATGTTGGAGATTCTTGGAATTGTTCTTGTTTGTGGAATAATTGAAACTATTATTGTCAATCTTATAAATTTTGAATCAAATAAAAAGAGCAAATCTGAGAATCATGCAAGTACAGATGAGGAAGTAGATAATATGAACGTTGTTGATGTTGTGATACCTGACACAGATGAACTCACTTAACTTATTGACAGTACCAGTGACAGTTGGTTCACAGTAAGTTGTGCACTGTGGACCCAACTATCACTCTCACTTAGGCTCCTGCACTTACACAGCAGCAGCCTAATTGTAAGTTCAAGAGATTTGAGATATCCAGTTCTGAAGAGAGTTCAAAAGATAAAAGAGACTCTCTGTTTGCTCCAACAAATCCAAGTATGCTTGTTCCTTCAAAAATGATTATTGGAAGGAAAATAATCATTGTTGGTCTTTGCAACTTGCTAGTCAATCATCTTATTGCACTCTGAGCAAGAATATTATTCATTTTATTCAGCTGCCTGTTGGACACATGGTGTACTGTTGTCAACTACCTACAATCAACTTACAATCAATGAGTAAACTAAAAAGCCACACATTTTTGAGAACTACAATGTAACAAAATACATAGTACTCTGGACCAGGTGTCAGCAACCTTTTTGTAACTAAGGGAACAATAAAAGTTTTAAAAACCATCAAGTGCACATGGTTTAAATTTTGAAAAAAATCACAATGTTTTAATAAAAATAAATAAAAAAAAATAATTATGTTTTGAAATATATATATTTATACAAAATAAAGATTATACATGCATGTAATAACTAAAAAAATGAAAATTAAAAGTGCATACATAAAATAACACAAAATCAAAGAAAATTATAAATATATGTATTTGCTTGTGCTTGATGTAACTATGTTCTGGAGAGTGCATCTGAAATGTGTCATGGGCGTTGCGTTGCCGATCTCTGCTCTAGACTAAATGTGCAGCAACAATTCCTGCAGCTGAAAAATGTGACATTGGCCCTCTGCATCTTCTATGGCATGGTAAACATTGCCTGCTTAAACACACAAATCATTTACAACCACAACAACTATTGGTTGGAGGGAAAGGAAATAAAGAAAAATTATATCCTTATTTGTCTAAGTGAAAGAGCTAACCAAATGATGGATGAAGAAACTAGAATCAGCACTTTGCAGATATAATTGCATCTCCTCATAGAAAATGTTTTACAGAAAAATCCTACCATTCAAAGAGAGAATCCAATTTCTAAAAAAAAGAACAATTTGCCCATCTGCTTTCAAAAAAAGAAAAATGGTTATTACATATTGCAGCCAGTGCAACTGTACATACTACAATGAATATTTTGCAAATCAATGTGCAATGTGTTAATTGCTGTAAATGAATTTTATAATAATAATTAAATGTCTGAACTTGTAACAAAACTAGAATATTTTATCATATATTCATTATATTACTGTCAGTCTATTCTGACATAAAATTAATTAATGAAATAAACAATTGTAAAATTTATAAAGTTTTGTATATACTAATGACTTATGTTTTGTGATCTAGGGTTAAATAAGAAATATAGTTTTAAAAAGTCATCAGAGATAAAGTCTGTAAAAAGTTATTCTTATTTTTCTAATTCTTTATAATGATTTTTTATTTCATAAAATAATTCATTCTGAGGATTATTTTATAATGGTGTTCATCTCTAAAGATGAACTTCACCAATTCGAAAGTGTTTGGGAAAGTAAAGTTTTTTGATGGTTACTTCATTAAAATAAGTCTCATAAATTCATAAGCTTAGCATTTTCTTAATTTTATTGTAAATTTACATACTAGGGAAAGACATGCTATACTGTACATGAAATATGATGTTATTTGGTTATGAAAGTTGGATATTAAAAAAATACAATAAAATAATTGGAAAGAAAAAAAAAACAACAACAGTTATAAAGAAAAAGAAGTTGGCATTTTTTTGTATACATCCAAAAACACCCAACATATATCACACAATAAGTTCTAAGTGGAAGGCTAAATGGAAAACAAAAGAAAAAACAAAAATTGGGTGATTTGACATTATCAATGAATGGACTAAAAAATAAATTAAATCTTTGTTTCATACAATACAATACAATACAATAGATGTTCATTAGTTGCTAACCTTAATTGATATGACACAAGAATAAAATATTAATATTATATATATTGTTTGAACAATACCAAATTGTCAACTATACTTTTATATTTAATAAATACATAAAAATATAAATACAACTTTAACAAAGGTAAAACCTTGCTTCTGTCATTTTTTTCGGCATTCACACCATTAGCAGTCCTTACATAATTCACAAAGTCACCTTTATTAAAGTCGTATTTATATTTTTATGTATTTATTAAACGTAGATAACACCAGCCATGTATTTCTATTGTTTTTTTTTTACTTAAAATACTTTTATATTATCAATTTTTAATTTTATATATGAAAAATTTCAATTGCAATTTATTTGACAACATATAAATCACCAACTGCACACACTGGGTTGAACATAAGAAAATACGACTTACATAAACCTATAACCAGTGCATACAAAGTTTAATCTTCCAAAACAAACGTTTTCTTAACCCCTTCTGGGTTCTTCTTCAGGTAAATCAGCTGGATCGAACATGAATACGAAAATTTGAACAAATCCGAATGCTGTTGAGCTTGAAATGTGTTTGATCCAGCTGATTTACCTGAAGAACCCAGAAGGGGTTAAGAAAACATTCATTTTGGAAGATTAAACTTTGTACGCACTGGTTATAGGTTTATGTAAGTCGTATTTTCTTATATTTGACAACAAGTAATACATGAAAATATGTCAGATATCTAAATTACAGAATAAATCATTTATTATTAAATTTTAATTACAAATATAAATATTTAAATTGTTTGCAACAACACAATATAATCACAACAAAAATTATCATCACTTACTGCCATGTTCACATATCTGTAAGGCAAGCATGTCTTTAAATAATACTTCTTCACCTAATGTTGCTGTTGCTCTAAATTAATTAAAAATGAATGGGATTATTTATAATATTTATGAAAATCTTTAAATAATGTATAAAAAAATTCTAAAAATATAATTTTGTGGCAAAATAAAAAAATTTATACAAATACATTCATTTATTTCTTAAAATTAAAATCTATCTATTTAAACTTAGAAATAAAAGTGTAAATAACATTTCAGAACATATTAACCAAGAATCAAGAAATATTGTTCTTTTGAAAGTTAACTGTTGAACTCATGAAATTTATTATATTTTGAAGAGATACAGATAAACTTTTGTAAATTTTTATATATCAAATAAAAACAATTTGTTGTATCTTAGACATTTGTTTTTAATATCTTTCTTTGATTGAGTTTTAAGAATTTTATGTAAAAATAATGTTTATTCACTTTAATCTTTACAAAACTATATTTATTCTAAATTCAAAATATCACACATTATTGTTATTACAACCTGTATTGTAAAAATATCTGCACCTTTTTTTTAGATGAAATAGTTATTAAATAAAATATATAACTGAAAAGATTTATCTTTAAATTAATAATACTTTGCATTAATTTATTATTAATGATTTTAGTATTAATATATTGTTGAATGAATTTAAATAATTATAGTTATTAATACATTAATGTAAAATACATCATTTTCACATTATAGTAAGTCCTCACTTAACATTGTTTCATTATAACATTACTGAGGACAAATACAAGTATGTTTGTAATCATCTACAACAGGGGTGTCCAACCTTTTTGTTTCTCTGGGCCGCATTGGAAGAAGTCAAGGAGATTTGGGCCACAAGTTTATATAATATATACTTGTGGCCCAATATACAAGTATATTTAAGGATTAACACGTGTAGATTATAATAATAAATATTAAAACTTTATCACGAAAAAGGATATTTTTAAAAATTACTTCTACAGACTCTTTCAATTTTTACTTAGAATATAGTCTATATAAATTCATTTATTTTTTTCGAATATTTTTTACGTCAAACAAAAAAAAGTAGCCACATTTGGCGCAAATGTAGCCAAATCTTGCAACGTTGGAAGAAATACTGTACTAAATAAAGCTGGAGTTGTGATTCAAAGGATTATAGGCCCAAATGAGGGGGAAAGGAGAAAAAGGACAAAAGATAAAGATGTGAGAAACGTTTGAAAATTAAGGATCAATATTTGCATAACAGATCTATTTACCCTTTCTCTCTACTTTTTATCTTTTGTCCTTTCTCACCTTTCCGTCCTTTTCCCAAATTTGGGTCTATAATCCTTTGAGTCATAACTCCAGCTTTATTTAGTAATCCTTCCTCATTCACACATCTCCAAATATTTGAAAATATTTCCTTTCCGCTCAAAAATAAAATATAAATGAAGGTTTACGGCTTTGTGAAACTTCTTTTTGAATTTACACCGTCGAAATAAATAAATAATAAAAAAATTAAAACATTTGTCGGTTTTGTTTACATGTTTACATGGGCCGCATTAAAACTTGCCTTGGGCCGCATGCGGCCCGCTGGCCGCGGGTTGGACACCCCTGATCTACAATTATTGTTATTGAATTTTCTTTAAAAACAATAAAATTGATTCTATGAGGTGAGAAATAAATGCTGGAGGTTAAGAATAAATGAATTACATCTTGATTATATTATTTAGCCTATGATAAAATTGGCTTCATTATACATTATTTCACATAACATCACAGTTACCTAGCCATAATGTTAAGTGAAAACTTATACTAAATATAGAATATTTAACTATATTATAAAATATAGTTAAATATTAAGTATTTTAAAATATATACATATAATATTTTTGCAAAAAAATTTTACAGAATGTAAAGGCAAAAAATTTTTGACAATATTAACTTTAAAGTTTTTTAAATAAAACATAACACTTTTCTTATTTATACATTAAACAGATTTAAATAGTTAATATATATAGTTTTATTGTTGTGGATGAATAAACACACCCTAAACAGTAGAGATTTTTAATGAAAACCAAACGTTTTTGAATTACTTACCATATTTTCACAGAATGATCAGCATGCTGCAAAAAATGGGGGAGACCAGCATGCCAAAAACCCCAAGGTTACCAGCATGCCAGTTAAACTGTGACCAAAATATAAAATTAATCAGATCTAACAAAACTAGTTGTTAATTAAATGTAAAAGAAAACATTCTTCTGAGTACAATAAAATAACAATGTAATTTGACTGACTTAAAATCAGGAAGAGCATTTTTGTTCACAAGACAATAAAACAATCAACAACTTGTTGACATTAGTAGTAGTAGTAGTAGTAGTAGTAGTAGTTAGTCAGTGTGAGCTACACTGACCATCTACCTTGACCTTAAAAATAACACCTTCCTCTCAAATTTCACACAAAACTGATGTTAATGATGTAAGTTGAGATAATTTACAGGGAGTTTCTTAAATTTTATATGTTTATTTTTGCATTTTTGAATCATATAACAATAAAATACACATAAAAAAGCACTTTCAGAATTCCAAGAGTAATTTATGTTGTTAGAGAGAAGACAAAATGAAGAAATTAAACATATAATCATAGTTTTTGATGTAATGCTGACAGTTTTACAGTTTCAGAATAAAAACTCATTCATTTTTATTCTAAAATGTGACCTAACTCATTTTAATGCAACCTCTAGAGAATAATCTATAACCTCACTTAACTGGCATGCTGGCATTTCCCCCAGGATAAACCGACATGTCAGCTTTTACCATACAGCTTTTACCATATTTTATCTGATTTCATGGTCTCTCCAATTTTTGCTGAATTGTTGTCATTCAGCAAAAATATGATAATAGAACATCCTCAGGATATCTAAGAATTCTAAACAGAACTTAGAATATTAATGGTTGAAATAAATACAATTAGTTTGGACATAAAATTGAACACTTAACTACAATTAAAAGAATATATAAGGAAATGAATGGATTACATTATATCTGTCTTGATGTACAATTTTTTAATATGTTATTTAAAGTTAATATAAAAGTTGTTATTAAAACAATACAGTGATTTCTTGATGTCATTTTGTTAATTTTTTCAAGATAGCTTATACATCATTTTAGATCAAATTATCGACTGATCAGAAAAATTTTCTCCGTCAGACTTATTATTCTTTGCACAGAATCAAAAAACTTTTTCTAGACCATTGTAATTTCAATAGTACTGAATAGTCATATTTATGAAACTAATATGACTATTTCAGTCACATTGTTTATTATTTATAACTAAACATAATCCATCATTATGTTATAATAAATTATATTATTTATTAAATCATATTTTACTCCATTTCTCAAATTATTTCAAGATTGGCTTTCTTATCTTGAAAATGGTCAATTGTTATTACAACCCAACTGCATTTCCATTGATTATCAATAAATAATAGAATCCTATCATTAAGGAAATCTTGAATTATAGCATCAGCTTTTATATATGTTTAGCAATTTTTATTTTGGAAAGCTATCCATACACTTTAGTAAAAATCATCATTTATATTTATAATTATTTTAGAATGAAAGTTGGAAGCTTTTTTCATAAATATATATTGATAAGCATTACAAGCACTGCTTTAGTAAAAGATTAATTATAACTTTTAATTAACAGAAAAGAGTTTAAAGAAAAGACTCATATATTGAAGTAATTTTTTGATGTCTAAAGAAAACAGTCTCAACTTTAAAATGTGACACACACACACACACACACACACACATTCTGAAAACATTTAAATGTAGCAAACTCAAAGACTTTTATCTCAAATTTTCAGTATTTAAATGCTTTGGTAAACTCATTTCTAATGTCAGAACTATAGTTAGCAACTAGAGTCGACCCCCCTATAACACTGTTGATTATTCTGTTTTATATGAATTCCATGTTGTATGAGTCACTTAGATTTTACAAATACATGAGCCGTTCACAGCCCAGCACACGTATTCATAAAATTTAAGTGATTCGTACAACATGGAATTCATATAAAACGGAATTGTACTGTAATGAATAGAGTAAACATATTAAATATCTTAACATTCCATATATATTTTGCTCTTTGCTGTTTTAGAGATTAAAAATGAAAAACATGTCTTATTTAAGTCTTCCAAGCAAGCAGAGACAGAGAAGTTTACTTGTTAATATTATTGGATCTAAGAGGCCAGGAAAAGTTGCCAATAAACCCAGCAACGTAATGATTTTTCTTGTCTTTCTCAGGATATTTGGTGTTGGGTCCAAAGTTAATAAAATGGACTCAGATTGTGAAAGGAACTGATTTATTCTAAGCAGGAAATTCGAGAAAAACCATTGCCTTGCCAGGTGTAATATTATTGGAGATATAAATTAGTCATAACAATGAACAACAAGTTCATCAGAAAACTGGAACTGCATATAGAGTACAGAATCACACTTAAATGCAAAATTTCCAGCAAAGAAATGCTTAACTTCAATGTTTGAACATTTTCAACCACTATTTTATCGGCCCTCTTCAGGAAATGTAAAACAGAAAAAACCATTCTATAAATAGACTGTAATTGTCTTCTAACTTTAAAAGTTTCAAATGAGTTCAAATAAAGGCTATGATGTTTCGTATATGACATATATTTTATGAGTCTAAATAGTATTTCCAAGCATTTGGTACATGAATGGCATCCATGTTGATGCAGGTTCCACTCCTGTCTGCCCTGTAGATCTCTACCACTTCTAATATTATAATATTTTGCTGGTCAGAGTTCTTGTGTATTAGCATAGCTTGGTCCCAACAGGGAGAAATCCCCAGATTGCTGGCATAATGTGCCAGAGTCATATTAATGTTTCTTTTTTGTACATCATATTTGTGATCTATATACAATAGTATTCTGCCAAACCTATCGTCTTGTAGTGTGATCCAGTAAATCCCAGGAGCTCTTGCGTCTGCACTGTCATCCTTTGCATTAGACAGAAGGCGGAAAACATTGGGTTTCCTTTTAACGTTATGAGTATATTTAAATCTTTTGCAATCCTCCTGTATATGTGATGAAGGGACGATTCATAGTTTAGGACCACCTGATTAGATTCTGTTTTATTAATGTTGTTATTGGTGTTAGATGGCAGAGTCAGATGTTTGAATGCTAGATTGTTGATAAATGAGCGGCTGTACCCCATGGTTGGATGCAACTTGTTTCAGATGCTCTAGTTTCTTGCTGGTATCTGACATCTCCGTAGAATGTGAGTAGGCTTTTGCTACCAGTGTGTGGAACATGGATGCCTTATATGACCATGGGTCAGCTGAATTAGCCGGTATGAATATATCAGCTGAATTGACCACTCGAACATTGAAATTAAGCATTTTTTTGCTGAAAATTTTGCATTTAGGTGTGATTCTCTACTCTAAATTAGTCATATCATCAAAATACAAATCATATGATCACTTTCTATAAAAATAAAATAATTAATTTTCTATGCTGTTATTTACATTTATTTTATAATACGTTATAATTTACAATTATTTTATTAATTACTTACAAAAAATCCACACATCCAGTACCAGTTACAGGAGCCATCCAGAAAAATGAAAGTGCCTTAGAAGGATGATGCAACAAATTAGAATGAACAATAGTACACATCATATTATGTCCTTGTGCATACTGACTTGAGAGAATGGGATTTTTACTACCCAAGGAAAGAGATTTAGCTGTACTATCAGGAAGTGTATAAATCCCTGTCATCATAAATCCATCAAATGCTGAACTAGATGAAACTATCACTAAAAAAAATAATAAATTTAAAAATATATTTTTATTAATTATATGATTATCAAATAAAATCATTCAATATCACTTACACACAATTGTATATTAAAAGAATTGCAAAAACTTAATATTATATTCAAATATCCAAAAATAAACTGCTAAGTTTAGGAAAGCAAAATGTTTATTAGAAAAGAAACATTTTTAGATTAATTCAACTTCAGCTCTCCAAACAGAACTCGAATGCAACTCACATAATAAAATTAACAGTTGACATTAAAATAATTTACATTAAGTAAAAATGTTTAGAAAGTAATTGAAAAATGGAAAATATTAACCAAATTTATTTCTACAACATCCTTAAACTCTTAATGTGAAGATCCAAGATAACTCTGGAGACAATACCAACAAAAATGAGCAGGCCCCTAGATAACTTGGGCTGACAATACTGGCAGAAACACAAGAGCCAAGATCACTTGGGCAGTGCTAGATTTAATGTTACATAATGTACAGTACAGTATATGTTCAGATAAACACAGATAATGAGTAATAATAAATAACACAGATAATCTCAAGAAAATCATAATTGTATAAAATAACAGTTATCTTTCATATTTTCACTTAATTTGAATAAGTTTTATAACATGCTGTAAGCAGACTTATTGTACATATTGACATACATTATATTAATATATATGAATTCAACAATCGATTTAAATCATTGAGTACTGATGCAAAATAAGGTAAAATTATGCCTGCACTTTGAAGCAAAAATAAATATAAATATAATAGCGGATGAACCCAACATTGCTTGGATAAAAAGTAACAATAAAAAAGATTAAGATTATGACTATTAGATTATAGCAAATCTTACCCATTTTCACTGGGTGCAAGAATTAGGTCCCCTCACTTCTGAGACTAATTAGAGAATTTTTACACAAGTCTAAAACTATGTTCAATTTTTCACAAAAACACAACAAATTGCATATAAAATAGTACAGTAGAAGCCAAGTTCTTCAGTATAATCCTTAACCCTCTTCCTCTCCCCGTGGGGGAATTTCGAAAAATCCCTTCTTAGTGTGCATTCTCATGACATACCCTAACTGTGTACCAAATTTCAACTTTCAACTCATAATGTTTGGGCTCTGCACATATTATTATCATCAACCCATCTTGATTATATTATAAGATGTTTAGTTCATTCTTGTCATATAGTCATTATTAGTCATACAAGTAAGAAGACCGTACACTGACAGCAGTCTCACAAAAACAATTATTGTGTTCAAAAGTTAGCTCTTTTCAAATATACCATTTTCTGAAATAATTTGGCAACAGTTTTTAAGTGACAGCATTGCTTCCTAATTGCTAATCAACAACAAAAAATAGGCACCAACAAAATGCTGTGCAGTACTGCTGCAAACAACAAGACAGTAAAGGGAAGAGAAGAACTGTACTATTACTTATGTGAATTGTATTGCTTTGTGTTGCACCATGCTTTGAGATTTATTGTGCTTATATTTTACATATATAACTTGAGGAAATAAACTTTGTTTTTGTTTAACTTCTTTCTTGTTTGATCTCATATGTATTAATACTACACAATTATGTTCCAATAATAATTTTTATGGATAAAATATAACTGCTTTTTTGGACAGTTTCTGTCAAGCAAGATGTGCATTATGCATGTCTTTCTTCTAGCAAAGCATTGATGTAACTTGGAGTTGGTTTGCTAGATTGAATAAGTATATACAGATTTGTACACTTATTATATAAAATTACTATCCAAGTTTGTTTAAAGTTAATGAATTCCATAGATTTATCACATGCTATTTAAATATTATTAAAATAGTATATGATAAATATATATTTAATATAAATATAGATTTATGTAAATATAAATATTATTTAAATGTTCTAATTTTGAAAATGTAAAGTGCAGTATTACTACAGTTAATGGTGTTCCTGCCTAAATCTGCAATTAAGCTGAGACTTTTTGGCAGGTCAGCTCTGGCTCCAAATTACCCCATACCAAATTTCAGCTTTGAATTTGTATGTGCTGCAGTGCAAAAATTTTAAAAACTTTTGCAGTTTTTCCAGGATACCTTGGAAAAGCCTTTGTTAATTTTGATCAATAAAAACTATATGATACAACTATGTAAAAGCTAGCTATATCTATTATTTTCACATATTTTTATATGCAGGTTTATTAGGTGAAACAACCAAGCAGAGCCGGCCCTACCATAGGGTGAACGGAGCAGCCGCTCCAGGCACTAAGTCCTAGGGGGCCTCAGTGGTAAAGAAAATTAAAGGGTATAAATTAAGGGCAACCAAGGGGGGCGCCATAATAGGATCTCGCTCCATTCTGAAACTTGCCTCGGGCCAGCACTACAACCAAGCAAGAATTGTTCAAATTTTTGTATGCTCTAGCAGAGCTTGTTACAAGCTGAAAACTATATTGTCTGAGAATACAATATCTGATCTAACTTATAAATCTGTAAAGTTTCATTAATTTATATTAATGATTAGATACTGAGAAAATTAATAATAAGGGAGCAATATGTGATACCAGGTTGTAAATACAATAAGAAATAAGATAACAGAAGTGAAATAGAATAAGAAATATGTAATAACTTTGATAATGAAACATGGAAATAACCTGTGTGGGTTGACATAATAACATGTTTCCCAACACCCACAGTTTAAAATACGAAAAACAATATTTATGAGCAACTGCAACTGTTCTTTATTTTTTTGAAGAAATTGGGTGGCACTATCCCTTATACCCTTACACACTGAAATCAAGGTTATCCCACAGATCCCCAAAGGCCAACTCCATACTACAAAACCCCTTATAACTTATCAGAAAGGATCCAAATTTCCTTTGAGTTGCATTCAATCTGAATGATACAGCAGTTTAAACAGTATGGAGTTTCAATGAGAATGCCATTGTATCCTATCGGAAACTGAACATATAATTTTTTATAATTTTTCTCAATTCTTTTCTGTTAACAGGATGCCAGTTATAACTTCAATCCAATGCATGATATCGTTGTCTGCATCACTCCACTAAGACTATCAAATTTAACTATTTAGTCTAAGCAACTGTGCCAGCATTGAATAACCCACTTGACTGTTCATGGAGTACTTGATGTTACATAGTTTTAGGGGGTGTGGGGCTTGCCCCATATGGGTGCTGAGATGCTTGCTATTGCTCACACTGAAGCACACAATTACATGCAAAGCATGTAGAATAGGCAGTATACTGATACATGTTAAAAACTGACCTTTGGAGGCAAATATCTCACAAAGGGTCAGCAATTCTGGGGATGGTATAAAATCCCTCATTCAGAGCTTGAATCTTACCCATTGCTGTAGTTATCAGCTGGCATCCCAATAACAGAAAAGTACCTTTTTCTTAGTATCTTACCATCAAGATAAATTAATAAAACTTTGCAGACATATAGATTGGACATTGCACTCTTAGAGAGTATATTTTTCAGCTTGTAACAGGTTCCACTAAAATGTGCAAAATTTGAGCAATTCTTGTTTTGGTTGTTTCACATAGTAAACATGCATGTAAAAATCTGTAAAAATAATGGATATAGCCCTTATGTAGTTGCATCACAGTTTTCATTTGATCAAAATCAGCAAAGTCTTTTCTAAGATATCAAGGAAAAAAACAAAAATTTTTGAATTTTCATGTCATACCACCTGTGAGTTTGAAACTGAAATTTGATGTGGAGTAGTTTGGGCAGCCAGGTGGTGATGGACAGATTTCAAGTTATCCAGAACATACTGCCCTTGAAAAATTTCTGGAAAGCTGTTCATCCCAGACTCAATCTCAGGTTCCAAGAGTGGTAGGCAGATGTCTTAACTGTCTTGGCCATCTGGCTGTCAATTGTCTGACTTTGAGACTGCCTTGAAGAATTTTCAAACTTTTGATTTCTTTGGCATTTTACTTCTATTTACTTTTTTAAAAATCTTTATGAAATAAATAAACATAACATAATAATCACACATATTTTGCAAACAGTTTTGCCAGATTTGTGAAAAATCATCTGATTATTTTCTGAATTGGCAGGCAATTTCAGTGGTCTGTATATGCAATTTCTTTTTATGATTTAGACCATTTTCAACTTTCTGCACTGCAAAATCACAAACTGACTTTAAAATTTTGTCATGCAAGCTGAAATATTAGTTTTGTACTGTAGATATGATGGCAGAACTAAGTTATAGTAGAACCCCTCTAATCCATCAACTTTGGGAATGGGGGTATGGTCGGAACACAAAAAAGGTCAGATTATCAGAAAAAAGTAAAATAAACAATCTTCCCTTTGTCCAGTCTTTGTAGCACTGCTAATTTTTCATTTAATGAAAGAGTAAAGTGTTTACGTTTCACTCCTGGCATGTTGAAAACACACACAATGTAAAACATATACTCGCCACGGACGGTGAGTCACTGACGAGTTGGGACAAGTTTCTCAACTCCGACCATGGTCGGATTAACCGGAGTGACGGATTAGCCGAGGGCGGACTAGAGGGGTTCTACTGTAGTTGTATTTTATCTTTACCAATTTGTAAAGATAAAATATGAATAGCAGATTATCTTTACTAATTATGTTTTGTTTCCTTAAATTTTTAATTCCTTTAATTTTACATAATACATTTTTTGTTTATTAAATTATTATAAATTTTTAAAAGATGTTTATTAAGTAGTTTGCTAATAGATAATCATCAGACTGAACTAAATTATACACATATATATTAATTTTTAATTAATATAGATAAATTTATACAAAAAAAATAAAATATATGAAATACAGCTTTTTAATTATCACTCTTTAATGTTTTGTAGACAATTCTATAGATAGTACAAGGTATACCACAATCATTTATCATCTTAATTAACATTACTTCAATTCCAATTCAAACACAAATTATTTATCGTATTTATACAGACACTTGGCAAATCACAGAATTAAATTTTATTCAGTTCATACGGGTTTCTTTCGTTTAT